CAATGGAATGGTGGTTTAAGCGTCCAGAAGAATCTGTGGTTCTTCAGCAATGACATGTGCCTTACTTATTATTACATATTTATTTTTATTTTAAATTCAATATTTGTTCATATATTCCTTAAACCAGATTTACATTTTTTTTATTGCATGGTATATTATGACCCAGAAAATAAAAAATTTCCACTGCCAAGTAAGTGCCACCTGTTACTGAATAATAGCTATGCAAAATGTATGTCGGACATCTTTGGACGCCATTGTGAAATTATTATAAAAAATTAAGATTTAATGAGCCATAAAACACTTTGTTTAGAGAAAAAAGCAGGAACTTCAAAAGGAATGTACATAATCAATTGCTTTGTTAAGGGATGGGCCAATTTGTTGCAATGACCTTTGACCGTTTCTTGCATCATTAATGATATGTTTGCATAACCCTTGATAAAAAAAAAATGTAGTGGTACTGAACAATGATATTTTATACTTAAAAATGCATGTATTACGGGTTTAGGATAAGATATGGCTACCGTATCTATTCTACCCCCACCAACTTGCTACTATATATAGAATTACCCTTTTTAGGTAAAAGGTCATAACAAAATTTTCCGATGGCCGAAATCCATCCAACTTTTTTTTTGGTGGTATTCCAGGTCGATATCAACAGTTTCCAACAAAAATCGCTTTGTAAATAATTTTTTGCCACTTTGGTGCTCCGTCTGCCTAACTACTATAAAACTTTGATTAGAGCATTGCTTTGGCCTTTTTCGACTTATGCGTAAAATATAAATGGTTCTGTTTTGAGTTTTCATTTTTCATATGCAGGTCTCTGTTTTCAAATATAAAGAACAGCACCACCACCACTATTCTTTCATATAAATTATCCTATCTAATAATCATTCATTTATTTTAAGATAAAAAAAAAGGCAATACACAATCAAGCAAGACTACAATAGCTAGGTGCCAGCAGCGCAGCTTAAAAAGCAAAATAATATAAAAAGAAAAAATAATATAACTTCTAAAACTCCGGAGAGTAAGCTTGCTGGCTTCTCTTCCTAGATTTTGCCTTTCAATACATTATAAACCCTGCGATGGAAGCATGTCATGAGCAGATACCAAAATGTCCACGAAATTGTTCAAGCGGAACTCTCAGCAAAATTAGATATAAAAATGTGGAGTAGGAAAAAAGTCCCGAGAAGGTCCATAAAACCATTCATGCGTTAACTCAGACATATAATAAAGATGTGGGCTGAATCACTCGTGCGGAACTCTGCTATGCAAAGTTGTAGGCTCATTGTGTATATGGTATACTGTAGCGTGCACCTAAATACAACGGTGGGGGAAAACTAGAAGATGTAACAGCAGTATGTTCTATTAACTTAAAATTTGTACTCAATAAAATGGGTTATACTGAGCCGATTTTCACCATTCAAAAGTCGATATGAGGTGCTAGTAAACGTTTATTAAGTTTTTTGGAAAGAAATTATGTCTCTAAATAGAAGTTCATATGCATCAGCCGAATTTGTACAATTGTTTATCAGTGAGATTAATCTGCTCAATAAACAATTTTAATTACCTTTGCAAATATAAAGATGTGGGTAACCCACATCTTTATATACGACTTTTCATGGATCTCGACCTGTTATGTTGTTTAAATTTTTGCTGATATTATTATTGTTACCATATAAATAATAAAAATTTCTCGATTTTTAAAATTAATATTATTATTATATATTTGTCTTAGTATACTTATTATTTTAATAATAGTAATTTTAAAAATATTGTTATTGGTGTTTTATTGGTATTTTTCTCATATTATTATTATTATTATTGTTGTTGTTGTCACCTTTATTATCGAAGTAGGCCTAGTATTATAAGTATCATAATTATTATTATTATTACTTATTAGTATTACTATTATTATAAAAATAAACGTTATCTTTAATTTATTATTGCTGTTATTATTGCTATTATCACCTTCAATGTTATTATCACTAATTAGTATAATTAAAATAGATATTTAAATATCGTTATTATTACCATACTAGTATTAAATATTACTATTAATATTGTTGTTGTTATCACCTTTATTATCGTTATTATGACTAATTAGTATTATTAAAGTAAATATTTGAAAAGGACCGACATGTCACTGGTGATTCACGTCATTGGATGCATCTTGTCACTGACGGGTTTCAAACATAGCCCCCAGTGGTCGAACAAATATAAAGGACTGAAGTCTGTCACCCAGCAATACCAATTGTTCCTATTGTGGATAATTGATACTAGATGCTGCACCCCACCTAATATTAACGTAGGCCTAATTCTTTGGCGTGGTTCTGAAGAAAATATTATCGAAATGCACGCCATCGTGCATTCATTTGATTTTAGTCAGATTCAAAATAAATTTTTAACATGTAAAATATATGTGTTTTTCTTAATTATTAAGATTGCTTAAATTGTTAATGTTACAATTGTCAGATTTTATTCCATTCTGTAAGTGGCGGGTTTTCTCTGTTGAATAAGAGTACAGTGTGAAGAATGCAACGATCTCACGACGATGATCAGAATTTTACTAAAATATACTGTGTACTTCATTTTAATCATTGAAGAAAAAGGATACAGAAACTGGAATATTTACATTTCATTTTAATTACAAATAACTTGTGGCCGAGTTGACTTGTGGCCGAGTTAACTTGTGGCCGAGTTGACTGCAGCCGAACTTCTTGTGGCCGAGTTGATTTGCGGTCGAGTTGACCTGTGGCCGAGTTGACCTGCTTCCTTTTTATATACGGTATCCTGTTTAGCGAAGAACCCGCCACCTGCCAATAATGATGATTTGGAAAAAAATAATTCTATTTTTGGTCAATTAGCGCACACTCCGCCACGAAAATGGATCCACTCCTTATTCTTATTACGCCCGCCGCTGCTTTGGAATCTCTAAAAAATTATAATTCTTCCTATATTATATAAATTCAAATATGCACGTTCATTAGTACTGTACTTGAACCTTCTTGGAGTGAGACAAGTTTGAAGTCAGAGTAGAGTATTAAAGTGCATTACACTTTTTCTTTTTCAAGAACCAGTCAAATTTACTGAACCAATTAGCGCACACTCCGGCACAAAAATGGATCCCCCCCCCCCCCCACCTTATTACGCCCGCCGCTGCCTTGGAATCTCCAAAAATACCATTCTTCCTAATTATATTAATTCAACGTATTTAACAATCCCATTTCTACATTCACCAATAAAAGTGTATTTTTATTTTCTCCCCGTCTAAAATAAGAAAACACAATGCCCACCCTCCTTGCCTTAATATAAATAGGCGCCTTTTTATCTTTATTCTAGCCAATCAGAATACTCTTATAGTCTTAGGGTAGGTAGGGTTGGCGGCAACATGAGATTTGGCGCGTACCGAATATAACACAATACAAAATAATACAATAGGTACAACGGCAACGCAAGGACAACACTTTGTAATAACATGGAGGAGAGAAAGCAATTTGCAAAAACAGCAAATACAAGGAACAAGTACAAATGACAGCGTGGACAGGAACATTCCAAAAGTGTAAATAAATCAATGTCGAGTTTGGGCCCTTTTGAAAAAAAAACAACAAAAAACACATTCTCAGTGATTCCTGGTTCAATCAGGGAGAATCAAAATCAAATTATTACTCAAGAAACTGTAGTACCTTCCTACGAGAATGCAACCCACAAATAGAATGTAGCGCATCATTCCTAATGTCGAAATACAATACAATACATTTGTAAAGTTATGTAACCCCGTGTTATTAGAATTTTGTATAATGAATGATGTATGTTTTATTAGGTACGGTACAAGTTGAACATTTTAAACAGACGAATACCAACAAATCTCTTTTGAACATTTAGGGTGGCTCTGAAAAGAGCCGTTTGGTTTTAAACTGGACAAGGTTTACTTGGAGCTGGTGTATTTTGTGACAGCCTTGGTGCCTTCAGAGACGGCATGCTTGGCCAATTCACCGGGCAGCAAGAGACGGACAGCGGTCTGGACTTCCCTACTGGTGATGGTAGATTTCTTGTTGTAGTGAGCAAGACGAGATGCTTCACCGGCAATACGTTCGAATATATCGTTGACGAAGCTGTTCATGATTCCCATGGCTCTGCTGGAGATACCAGTGTCTGGGTGAACTTGCTTCAACACCTTGTAGATGTAGATGCTGTAGCTTTCCTTTCGCTTACGTCTCCTTTTCTTGTCGCCAGCTCTGACGGCTTTAGCCTTACCGGCTTTTTTGGCAGCTTTACCTGAAGTCTTTGGAGGCATACTTTCAGTTTAGACTATACGAATTCGAATAGATGCGTGAAGAACTGAAGTGGAACAGAGTACTTATAGAGTTAGATATGCAAATTATGGCTTCACGGCAATCCCTTATCGGCTTAAAGCTTCCTATTGGATGTTGAAAGCCCGCGTTTAATTGAATACTGTAGCCCGGCTTCGTGTGGGTCTTTAAACAATAGGACAAGGACAATGCATCCACGAATGAAATCTATTAGTTTAGATTAGAATTTCGATTTTATTTTATTTTTGTATTTTTTAAATACTGAAAATTGCATATTGACATTAAAAATGATACTGGCGTGGAGGAATAAGTGCAACTATATGATTTATCATTTTTGTTTTATTGTATTAAATGGTATATAGAATAATGCCTAGGCCTAATTTTATTCTGAAAACTACTGTGTATTATCAAATTGTAATATTCAAATTAAATTTATTGGAGCATACGCTTTTATAGTACAGCGGCACTCGTCCACACGACGGTGCGTCTAATTTACAAAATTCAAATTTAAAAAGATACTTAATTTAAACTACTAAAAATTACCCAAAAAGAAAAATAACTTATAAAGGTATATATCACATACATAAATATCGAAGTAAAACTAAGTACAATGTATCCTCTTGTAAGGGTGGTCCAAATATCTATTAAGAAGCAACGCTTCTTAATTCGGACAATTACTGTATTTCTGAAAGCGATATTTTGATACTGAAATAGCATAATACTGTAAAAATCCCGGGTATTCAACATTTTTAAGCTGGTGACCAGCTCCAATCTGATGAGACCCCCATCAGCCCCCCCCCCCATTTCAAGACTTCTGTACGCCACTGCCGAAAAGGGCTCACATTAAAAAAAACTTTAAAATAGACACCACATTCCCGAAAATGGCATGTTCTTACTTTAGAAGTACGTTTTCTTCGAAGTAGTGTTTTCATCAGGATTATATGTCCTTGAGAATGCCACACCCGGATCCGCCACCAATGTTTTCGCATCTATCAGCTCCCCCACCCCTCTTAATCCTTTATCTCCAGCATTAGTTTCCTCCCATGTCAATACTCCACGCACTCAGAAAAAAAGCCAGACTTGTTAATATGCCAGAATAGTTGGTAGCTTTGCTATTAACAGAAACTCGGCTGGTAAAATGATTTTTAGCAATATTTCGTGGGCCTCATCTAAATCTTGATGGCCAGAGTTAGCCTGTGGGCAATTAAAAACAAAGAATCACATTGTTCTTTGATAATTGTGGGTGTCTTCTACTGAAAGTCTGT